CTATCACAGACCTTCTACTTTCCCCCTATGAAAGTATGTACTCTTAATATTTGTTTAATCAAATATAACACGTAAAAACAATAATTCAATAACGTGCTTTAACCACTAGGCGGTGCACACAAGGTACACACAGCCATAATAACTTTGTATTATTAGTGTAGGACACTTATGTATGTACAACATCTGAAGATGTGTAGTTTTATTCATGTTTTCACATAATTTTACAGCATATTGCTATAGTATTTCAGACTCAGTATTTACATTCTTATATTCAAAGAAAATCAGTAATATCTTTAAAAACTACAAGTCCTTTTCTATCAGCTGTGCACCGTTATGGTGTAAATATAACCTATCTACGAATTAGATCAAATGTAAAAGTCAGCCGAATTAGTGTTGATACTGCAAGGAGACGCATTGTGTGAAGAGAAATTGAAGATGTTGTTTAATTGTTGATATATTTATGATCCACGTCAAGTATTCAGTTTCGGCGGCATTTCTTCAGTTTTTCCAAAGGTCTTCTCATCAGGGCTCTATAAATAAAGAACTACGGCAGATCTGTAATATGTAATGCAGCCGAACCGTGTATTACAATGCCGTTATGTGATGACTTTCAAAGAGAAAAGCAAGAGCACTCGGAATAAAGTATTATTATATTCTTTTCAAATGTTTTCCGGATTTCATATAATATAAACACCAAATCCCAGCATGCATTGCGGCTAAAACATCCAATCAGCGAGCTTAAACCATAGCTGAGGATCTTGGGTAATCGCTCGAAATGCCCAAGTCTGTTTCCGGTTATTTTTATTTTGAAATTCAGTTCCTGACGGACGCCAAAAAAGCCAGAGATTATGGAATTAAACCAATAAATAAAAGCAAGGATAATTGTGTGTTATTGGTGAGTAAATAACAGTGTGTTATTTTGAAAAGAATAACAAATTAGAAGGAAAAAAAGATTTTAAAAATACATATTTCAGTATCCTGAGGCTCTGAGCCCCATTTATTTTCCTCACAGACGGCAACAAAAGTCAGAAATTATACGATTTAAAATAAAAGCAATAATTGTGGCTTGATATTGAGTAAGAACATGTTTTTATGAACCACACAGCTTCCGGTCTTCCACGACCCGACCGGAGAAAAAGACCTGCTGCAGGCACGAAACACACTACCAGTAGAAATACATTGCTTTTAAAATCGTGCTGTGCAACACGAAAAAAAAAGGGGGAAAATCGTGTTGGTGAACACGAATCAATAGATTAAAAATCGTGTTGGTGAACACGAAATGCCATGAGACTGGGTTGTACTATCTTCATTGAAAAAGGCGGATTCGATTTTTGTTGGTATTAGGCCTTCAAAGCGCTCTGCAAAACTACACCTAGGATGGCATGTGCCCATGAAATGAGAAAATTAAAACTTTGTGTTAGAGTAAAGCCAAATACATAATTGGAAAGGCCTTGATCTGCAGAGTGGCGTAGGTCAGTATGAAGGTTTTCCATGCCTCCTGCTTTGAAAAATTGACCTTTAAACCTTGACCTCAGTACATTAATTCAGCAACAAAAGGGACTACAGACATGGGGCCAACTGTTATAGAGAGCTCTTGACCTCAGCTATCCTAGGTGTATAACCAAAAGGTTTGGCATTATTACATATGGGAGAATATGGTAAAAAAAATCATTTTCACAATTAAATATATACATATTTACAATTTATTTGCTGCGCTGATAGCTCTAGTAGGGAAAACAATTTGTTTGACTGTTTGGCTCATCCTAATGTTCAGCCTTGATGTATCAACATTCATAATTAAGTAAATGTAACATCCTTTTCACCCCGGTTACACGTTTCATTTGCCCTGTACGATGGGCGCTGTAAGTGATGAAAGTGGGGGATGTTGGCTTATCTGGCGCCCGCAGCTCACAGCCAAAGTTTGAGCGAGCCTCCGAGCGAGCAAGAGAGAGAGAGAGAGAGAGGGCCCGCATCGGTATCTCGGATTGTTGTTGGATTGAGGCTGATAACTACAGCTCAGTGAGGTAAAGGGCTCTGAGTGTTTAGATAGTTCCCTTTAGTCTAAGTTATCTCAGTGGGTCTTAAATGGTTTGGTCACCATTTATGTAAACTAATATTTCCAAGGCTCACCTTTATATCAGGATAAATAAAAACAGGTTTGAAATCATTTCAGTGTATATTCAGTGTTTCCCTATATACATTAATGCGCGCCGCTGCTGCGCGCCGCTGCTACAGCCAGGTATTTTTTTTGTAATACTTTAAAATAATAATCCGTGGCCACACAGCGAGCGAGACAGAGCGAGAGAGCTAGAGAGAGCACACCTTTAACTATTTAATATAGTTGTACAAAATAAAGTAAGAAATCATTCCAATGCGTACAGTAAAATGCAAGTAAAATGCGGACAGTAAAAAAAAACAGTTTAAAAGGGGAGTGATCAGTAAAATATGCATAAAGAAAAAGAAAGAATGCTAACTAGGTAACATAAGATAAGAATAAACAAGTTTAAATTATTTGTTATTGGTTGTGATCATGTGCTGCTAGGGTACTCACGCACACAAAGCCGTGGTAGCACATCACTCCCACCCTCATCCACCTACACTGGTTGCCGGTCAAGTCCCGCATATCCTACAAAGTCCTCCTCCTTACTTACAAGTCCCTCCATGCCCTTGCCCCCCAGTACCTATCGGACATCCTTCACCCACATGCCCCACCCCGGAACCTGCGGTCCTCAGACTCTGGCCTGCTTACCACCCCCCGCACCAAACTGCGAACCTTCGGGGACAGAGCCTTCAGTGTGGCAGCCCCCACCCTCTGGAACGCTCTCCCTGCGGAGATTCGCAACATCCCCACACTCGACGCCTTCAAAAGGGCCCTCAAGTCCCATCTGTTTGCCAAGGCTTTCGGCCCCTAAATCGATGTGTTGTTTTGTCTGTCTGACTTTTTGTTTTTGCCCTATTACTTGTAAAGCGACCTTGGGTCCCTTGAAAGGCGCTATATAAATCCAAGCTATTATTATTATTATTATTATTCTAAAGACGTTTGGATTATTGAAAAGTATACAGCTCCTTTCATCTGAGTGTTGAGAGCTGTATCCATCAAATCATTTTGTGGTCAAAGTGGTTGAAAGGCTGGTGAATGATCAAATCAAAGAATATTTAAGCTTGGACAACATTCTATCTCCTCACCAGTCAGGCTTTAGGAAGCAGCACAGCACAGTAACGGCTGCTTTGAAAGTAGTGAATGACATTGTTGAAGGCTTGGACGCAAAGAGCTACTGTGCTGCCCTTTTTATAGACTTATCCAAGGCATTTGATACTGTGGACCATGGCATTCTATGCCAGAAGTTATCCCATATAGGCCTGTCTGACCAAGCTGTTGGTTGGTTTGCAATATCTTTCAAATCGCAAGCAATGTGTAAAATTCAGTGGTCTCTCCTTAAGCTTTCTTAATGTGCCCAGAGGTGTTCCTCAAGGTTCGGTCTTGGGACCGACCCTTTTTACTATTTATATAAATGATGTGGGTCAAAGTATTGATGCCTCTGTACATCTGTATATGCAGATAATACTGTTGTGTACTGTTGTGCGAGCACTGTTGCCCTTGCATTTGAACGTCTGCAGTCTGCTTTTGACACTTTTCAGTCACATCTGTTCCACTCAATGAGATTTTACACCTGTATAAATAAAGGCTAAAAAAAGAAAAGTGCACCAGATTGATGCATTTAACTTCAACATTTTAAAATAATCGTCCCAGGGGTGCATGTGAGGTCCACCCCCAAATAAAGCAGGTTAAAATAATTAAATTGCATACATTTTGTTTTGATTGTTTGTTATGTGGATAGTAGTATTTGTGTTACTATATGTTCAATAAAGGTGATTTAGCAAAATACACCTGTAGAGCCTCAAGAGCCTTAAATGTGCTGGCAGACACATAGAAACATATTGGCGGGGCACACTTCGCACACACACACACACTAACAAATTCCACGCGCTCCGCGCTCACATTTAGCTGGGACCGCGTGCCTTAGCACCGCTGCTATGACTCCGTCCATCCTAGGGGAAACACTGATAGGACAGTAAACCAAAAATATCGTTTAAAACTGGAGATATAAAAAAAAAGCATAAATAAAGAAATGTTAACTAGGTAAAATAAGATATAAATGAACAACAAATAAAATACGTCACATTTATTTGTTATTGGCTATGGTAGGTTATTGGTTATGCTAACATACTTATTTGATTATTAAAATGTAAACCGATCTTTTTCATATGGATGTTTAGAGTTGTACCCCCTAGATCAGGTCTCTAGTAATTCTGCTCAAAGTGCACCAGATTGAAGCATTTTACTTTAAAATGTTCAAACAAATCTTTCCGGACCCCACTAGAGGATGTGACGTCCACCTCCCAATCAAAACATGTTCATACAATACTGAATACATTTGAAACCTTCACACACACACACACACACACACACACACACACACACACACACACACACACACACACACACACACACACACACACACACACACACACACACACACACACACACACACACACACACACACACACACACACACACACACACACACACCACACACACACACACACACACACACACACACACACACACACACACACACACACACACACACACACACACACACACACACACACACACACACACACACACACACACACACACACACACACACACACACACACACACCAGAAGTTGATATACTTGCTAACTTCATATTAAAATACAATACAAATTAAATTGTCAGCTGGTAATGTATTCCAAAAATATCTACATGTCAAGTTGTATACGATTAGAGATAATGATCACCGTACATTTGAATGTATATGTCTCTGTGTGTGGAGGCAGTCCACTGCAGGGAGGGGGGTGATGTGTGTCAGGGTGGACTGTTCTGCCGGTCGGACTGGTAAAACCAGAGGTGAGGTGGAGCTATTGCAGCGGCAGCAGGTAGACAGTCTGTTCCGCACCTGATCCGACACAGAGACATCCTGCTGGGTGAGAGGAGCACTCAGAGTGAACCGGGAACTTAGCCCGTAACCTCCAGGTGAGCTATTTGAACTTTAAACAACTTTAACAATGTCTACATCTCATTCTGGGGGCTATCCTACATGAGTTGCTTAAATGAAAAACTGTAGCCAGAAGTGGAATAACTTCTAAAAAAATATTTTACTTCATTAAAAGTAGAAGTACCAGAGTGTAGAAATACTCTACAAGTAAGTTCTGCATTCAAAATGTTACTCGAGCAAAAGTAGAAAAGTATTCTCATCAAAATATAGTGAAAGTAGCGACAGTAAAAGTAGTCGTTGTGCAGATTGGTCCATTTCAGAATAATATATATGATATGTTTTATAATGATTGATCATGAAAGTGTTCTCAAAGCTGGTAAAGGTGCAGCTAGTTTGAATGGCTTTGTATACTGCAGGGTAGCTTGTGGATTTACTCCAGGTTTAACTAAAGTCTCATTTAAGTGTTGATTATATTGTTTATCATTAATCTACTGTATATCTGAAAAGTAACTTAAGTTAAATGTGGTGGAGTAAAAGTACAATATTTACCTCAGAATTGTAGTGGAGTATAGCATAGCATAACATGGAAACACTCAAGTAAAGTACAAGTATCTCAGAATTGTTCTTAAGTACAGTACTTGAGTAAATTGTTAAGTGTAATGTACTATTTTGCTTGCTAGTAGAGGTACTAAAGTACAATACCTTTTTAATAAGGTAAAGGTACAAATACTTTTGTCTTTTAATACTTTACTTACTTAAATAATTTACTTAATTTAGCCTACAGAAGTATTATCAGTCAAAGTAGGCCTACTCAATAATTAGGATGGCTGTTTTTATAGAATAATAGTGTTATAGAAAATTGTTCTGTGCTTATCACCAACTAATATGTCAAATGATTTAAAGTTGTAGTTTGTTGAGCCAATTAAGATATTTGGTATGTTACTAGTACTGTACTTCATCAGATCCTGTCGACATCATGTGTTCAAGTGTAAAAAGCTAGTAACTATGAGCATAAAATAAAGCAAAAAGTACACTACGTGTACTTATAAGTTAAATTAAATGGAAATACTCAAGTAAAGTGTGTACTTAAGTACAGTACTTGGGTAAATGTACTTGGTTACATTACACCTCTGCTGGCTGTGCTTCTCCCACCAGTCTTGTTAGCAACATTGATGAGAGTGGAAGCAAACTGAAAGCTAATTGTAAAAGATGATGTTTTACTTTCTCTCAATTAAATGGCATATTACAAATGTGTATCAGTAAAACCCAAAACACTCAGTGCCCCAAAACACCACATATTACAGCTCCACTGACCCTCTGTGCACAGGTGCATGGGAAGGATGGCAAACTGGCATGTAGGCTACATTTGAGATATCTCAAAATGCGTTAAATTGAATTATAATTAGTGTTGCCACCATTACAAACTGCAGTCTGACTAGAGAGGACAGTTACTCCCTAAATCTATGGTATAAATATTTAGGACATATTATGATTTGTAGTAAACCATAGCTGTCTGTGGTAAGCAATTGTATTATATCATAAATGACTATGGGAAATATTGCTACAGTATTTTAGAAAATGTACTTAAATATAGAGGAAAAAAAATAGGAAATTGAATTCTTATAAACCAAAGTAGAAAAATATTGAAGTGAGACACTCCCTACTAAGATAAGATAAGAGATAAGATAGTACTTTATTGATCCCAATTTGGGAAATGTTTGTGTTGTAGCAGCATAAAAAGACATGGCATTGTACAATAACAATTAAAAGACAACAAATAAACAAGAAAGGAGAAAATATACATGTTGAATGAACAATAAAAAGATATCAAGCAAGGTATTATATTTACATAAGTATGTGACAGATGGAATATTAAATATTAAACTGAATATATAAATGTAAAATGTACAGTGTGATGTTAAGTCCAAGAGAAGCTATGGAGCAGAGACTTTCATTTAATGCTTTAATAATAGCACCAATAAGTATAATTCCCTATCACAGAGGTGATTGGTTAGCAGGTAGCATGTCTGCTAATAAAATACAGCATGTAGATAAAAAAATGAATGATATAAGGTCAATCAAAGCCTCTAGAACAAAATGCATGGTGCTAACATTTAGATCACAGGAGCAGAGAGTGTTGATGAGAAATATATCTCCAAACTACCCATAATAATGCTAAACAACAGATCATAGTAATTGTTGGCTTCATAAAGAAATGTATAAATGAAAAAAAAGATAGTTGCTTCCTTCATTCATTGTGTTTTTTTGTTTTGTTTTTAATAAAACGTATTACTTGTGTTGCACTCTAAAAGAAATTACTATCCAGGATGTTTACCTTTACTAAATACTGCTGAACTGCAGTGACACAACCGGTTTTTCTCCTGCGTGACTTATGTTTAGTGGCGCGTGACGGCAGTAAAAACCGTAATCAGTCTATTTCAGACACAGCGGGGGGTAAAGTCATCTGGCATGACATCCTCCCTCAGGTCTGTCATTAGCAGTTCTCAGAACCTACATTGCCACTTTAAGTTGTGTGTCAGAAGCTCTTAGCAGGCTTTCACAGGGTTATACAACATTGTCTGTGCTTCATGGTTTTTGATTTGAGTGCCGTCCACAGTTAGTCTGTTTTCATGCAGTCAGTGTGTATTTGTTGCTTGTAATGTGACGGAGCCAGACAGAATCATTTTAAGCACAGAGATTTTCTCCAGCTCCTCTCTGAGCCCTTACTTTTCCCAGGTTTCTTGTGTTCCTTCTTTTGCTTGGGATTTCTGCGCCTATCACTGCTGCCTTCTTCTTCTTCTGTTTGTCCCCCACCACGATGTCCGCTATTTAGCCATCATCATTCTTTCTGGGTCTGGGAGTCCCTCAGGATCTTGGCTTTTAACGTTGGGACTTCCAGCTTCCATGATTTCTGGATATCAGACTCTTGATATCATGTACCCTTGAATTAACATTTACCATACATCTATAGTTTTTTGTGCGGTAGCAAGGGAAAGAGGGGTAATAAAAAATTTAAAAATTACAACAATGATAACAACAATTATAATGATAATAATTTGAGAATATATATAATATAATAATAGTCGTTCCAAAAAAGTACATGGCAAAATAAAAAATAAGAATAATTATCAAAATCAATGACGTCATGTTTATTATGGACTAATGAATTCATTAATAAAATAATTGATAGTGAGGCTTTGGAGAGAAAATATGCGAGCGACCCGGTGGAAGTCCACTCTATGGGAGTTGAAGTTCTGGATGTAAATAGGCATTGACATCATCAAGGCATGTATATGTTTCATACATTAAAAAAATAATAATAATTATATATATATATTATGAAAGCCAATGCTGTAACTTTTATTATTAAGAGTTTCCCCTCCTCGGCTTTAGGCCTCCACATTCTCATCAAACACGCATGTCTGGCTCATCACATTTGAGTTAAGGCTCGCTGATGCCGATTGAAAGAAAGCGCTTGTCTGATTCTCTTCTGCAGAGAGAATCCTCTCAGTCATAAACTGAAACGCTACGCAAAATTCACAGTTCAGTATGTACCTTGGTTTTAAGCCTTACATTTTAAGGTCATGTTTTGGAATCCTTTCAGTTGTGCTCATTTGTAACATTTAAGGTGCTCTAATACTGGTATATTGTCAATTAAAACAATGACTTAGGCAGGCAGAACTGACTAATGGCGCATTTCCACTGCAGCGCGTAGCACGGTTTAAGCGTGCCGTGCCAAACCCGGCCCGTTTTTTGTTGCTTTTCCACTAGGGGTAGTTCCGGCTCACAGTTTTTCTGGCCCTCCAAAATCGTGGTTCTTTCCGGGCCAACAACCGGGCTGAATATGCTAAACTAGTGAGAGAATCGCTGGCAAGGGGGCTACAACTACAACAAAATGAACGTGATCTAATTGTAATACACGTGTCAAAATGATGCCGAAGTAACAACATACTGATACCGGTTAGTAAAAACCATGAATTAATGCTTTGACAAGTCTGCAGACAGACGGCAGGCGAAACACCTTTTTAAAATGCGTGTTTTCTGAATGGAAGCTAACGTTGTATATGCTCCGACCGTCCACACTCACAACAACGGCCTACAGACATAAATAAACCAGCGACTGTATTCGCCATGACACAGGCAGTCTGTGGTTTGTACTTGTTTCACTTTTGTCTAGTTTCTGAACAGATATGAGGAGCTGTGAGCTTGAGGGCTAACAGCTAACGGCTGATGTTGGTTTTGTTGTTCGCATTGAAGACAACGTCACGGCTCCGCCTACTCTGCGTTACTATAGTTACTGCCCCATCTACTAAACTGTAATGGAAACGCAGCATAAAGTGAGCCTGGCCTACCAAGGCCTAACTATACCGTACTAAGCCGTGCGAGGCCCTGCAGTGGAAATGCGCCATAAGACACACACATTGTAGGTGGGCTCAAGTACTTAACTTTGGTGTTTTCTATGGTATGGTTGCATATACAGAGTAATAATAATAATAATTCATTTATTTTATATAGGCGCCTTTCAAGGCTCTCAAAGTCGCCGTACAAACACATACAAAACAATATACACAATACCTAACACCAGCATTAGAAACATAAACAAGACAATGCAGTATATAACAAATCAAATAAATAAAACAGAGTATGTGTGATGGATAATGATCAGGGTGGATATGCGAGTGTGAAGAGATATGTTTTGAGGCGTGATTTGAAAATGGGGAGAGAGTCAGTGTTGCGGATGTCAGGTGGGAGGGAGTTCCAGAGGCGGGGTGCAGAGCGGCTGAAGGCTCTAGACCCCATGGTGGTTAAACGGAAGGGGGGTGCAGTGAGGCTGAGGGAAGCAGAAGACCTGAGAGTGCGGATGGGTGTGTTGATGTGCAGGAGGTCGGAGAGGTACAGAGGAGTGAGGTTATGGATGGCCTTAAAGGCGAGGAGCAGAATCTTAAAAACGATACGGGATTTGACGGGGAGCCAGTGAAGTTTCTGAAGAACAGGAGTGATGTGGTTAATGGAGGGGGTTCTGGTGAAGATGCAGGCG